GACCTTGCAGTCCAGTAGCATTATCCTGCAGCACTACACCAGGGTAGAGGGGTTCTAAGGAATCCTGGTGGAATGGTGGTTAAAGCACTCAACTGCTAACCAAAAGAACCCAGCAGCTACTCCACAGGAGAAAGATGTGGCAGTCCGCTTCTGTAAAGGCTAAGAGCCTTGGAAATCCGATGGGGAGGTTCTACTCTGCCTTACTAGGTCACTAGGAGTCGGAATAAATTAGATGGCAGTGGGTTTGGTTTGCTTTGGTAGAGGGATTATGAAGGATTTCTTATTTACATTTTCCTATATTTTCTACAAGCATGTAGTATAACTTTTGGAATCAGGAAGAAAAACTAATTTATAAAGTAAAATTTGTCCATAACCCATTAAATAAAAATTCAAAAGTAAACTTTAACTACAAAGGAAAAACCAACCAACCAACCTGAGACAAGACCTTTTCTGAATCTCCAACGAACGGTGAAAAGAGATCAGCTCCACTCACTGACACAAAAGAGCAATGGCAGCTTGTGGCCAGAGCCCGCACAAGGGTGGTTTTAGCACATCCGGGAGGGCCATACAAGAGCACACCCTTTGGCTGTGTCAGGCCCATCCTCACAAATTCTCGGGGGAATTTCAGAGGCCATTCCACACTCTGTAAGGACACACACAGAGACAGAATAGTTGTTTCAGTATAATAATAAAATGGCAAAAATATTTCAAGTATTTTAGATGCCACCAGAAAATTTATTCATTCAACAATTCTCAGGGATCTGTTATGAGCTGGAGACATAGTCCATTCTCCACAAAGCAGTCAGTAACCTTATAACCTAAGTTAGATAACATCATGTCCAGCTTAAATTCCTTCAATGATTTCCCATAAAAATTAGAATAAAATCCAAATTCAAGCTCCTTACTTAACATGGCCTACGATACCTTAATCGGGCTCCTGTCCACCTACCTCACAAACACTCCAGTTTGTTCCCATCTCAAGGTATTTATATGTGCTATTCTCTGTCTGGAACATTCCCCCCACAAGAATTTTGTGTGGGTATTTCTTCCAATATTCAGGTCTCAGTCCTGATGGCATTTCCTTGGAGAACATAGATGTTGCCTTGTGTAAAAAGCAGAACCTTCTGCTCTTCAACATTCTCTATGCTGGTGCTCATCGTGTACTTTATGGCAGGGCTGGGAAACTGTTTATCTGCCGACATTTATAACATCATTCATGGACCACACAAAATTGTCAACTTAAAAATTAGCCTGCTATATCTGGTCAAACATTTAA